AATGTTTATTCCTTTCTTGATTTAAAGGACAGTTGCAAGAAGCAATAACTGTAAATCTGCTGATAAGCAGAAAGAGTAATTTGTATCATGAAAACACAAGCAGAGGAAGGGGAAGGAAAGGAACTTACAAAGGATTAAAGTTTTTGTATACTACTGAAATTAAGGGGCACCTGGGTGGCTCAGTTGGTAAAGTGTCCGACTGCAGCTCTGGTCATGATCTCCCAGTTCGTAGGTTTGAGCCCCATGTCGGGCTCTGTGCTGACAGCTAGCTCAGAGCCTGGAGCCTGTTTTGGATTCTGTATCTCCGTCTCTCTCTGACTCTCCCCTGCTCATTGCTGTCTCTCTCTTAGAAATAAATAAAAAACATTAAAAAATGAAATTAAGTTGGTATTCATCTGAAGTCGATTTTTATACCCTAAAGTTCATTGTAATCCTTAGGGACATCACTAAGAAAATAATTTTTTAATATAGTAAAAGAAATAACAAGGGAATTAAAATAATACACTGAAATATACCTACTTAACACAAAAGAAAGCAGCAGTGGAGAAACTGAGGAAAAATAAAGACCTAAGACACAGAAAACAAATAGCCAAATGGCAGATGTAAACCTTACCTTATCAGTAATTACACTAAATGTAAATGAATTTAACACTACAATCAAAAGGCAGAGAGTGGCAGAATGGATTTTTTTTACTGATACAAGCACACACTGTCTACAAAAGATACACTTTAGATTCAAAGACACAAACAGGTTGAAGGCTAAGAGATGGAAACAAATATGCCATTCAAACAGAGAATTCAATCACAATCACTGGAGACACGAACACCCCCATTATCCATGGTGACTGCTAATGGTCACTTTCTTTGGGGGGGGTGATGAAAATGTTCTGGAATCACAAAGTGATGACTGTATATTAAAAAACATTTTAAAGGGGGGGGAGGGGGATGGGCATGGAGGAGGGCACTTTGGGGATGAGCACTGAGTGTTATGTAGAAACTAATTTGACAATAAACTATTTGTAAAAAAAAAAAAAAAAAAAAAAAAAAAAAAAAAAAAAAAAAAAAAAAAAAAAAAAAAAAAAAAAAAAAAAAAAAAAAAAAAAAAAACATTTTAAAGGGTTGGTTTTATGGTACATGGTGAAAAAAGAAAGGTTCTACCATTCTCCCACTCTCTGCCATAAACGCTCAGTTGTTGGGGTTAAGGGGATGCTGTTAGTTCTTATTACTCATCATGCCTTATACCAGCCTCTAGCAGAACTGAAAAGGCATATCCTCCCCTTTAAATATATTTCATGGAGGGGCTCCTGGGTGGCTCACTGGATTAAGTGTCTGACTTCAGCTCAGGTCATGATCTCGCAGTCTGAGTGCAAGCCCCGTGTCGGGCTCTGTGCTGACGGCTCAGAGCCTGGAGCCTGCTTCCGATTGTGTCTTCCTCTCTCTCTGCCCCTCCCCTGCTTGCTCACTGTCTCAAAAATGGTAAACAATAAAAAAAATTGTTTTAATACATTTCATGGAAAATGAGCCAAGCTCTATCCATGGTAGAAGGGGATCAAAGTCACCAGGACAAACGTAAAGTGTCTGTGAATCGCTCTGTATCAACATTTCCCAAAGTATATTCCATAAAACACTAGAGCCATGGGAAATAAATAGGTTGAAAGGAAAAGAGTCCTGTGGTCAAATAAGTTTGGGGAGCCCCAGGTTAAATAAAGTTCATCTCTTTTCTTTACCGCTGGGACTTCCTGTCTTCTCTGTCCTAGTGGGTGCTGTAAAGCTTCAAGCCCAGGGATTGGTACGCAGCTTTTCCCAAGCTTATTTGATGTGGGAATGCTTTTGGCCCTCAGAACATTTCTCAGGACTAGTAAAAAAATAATAATAAATAAAAATAAACTCCCCACATTGCTCTTTTGAGACATCTCTGAAAACCCCAGAGGCCCCAACTAGAGAGCTCCAGAATTTAGGTCCCTATCACAGGAGTAGAGACAGAACAGCGCTCTGCTCAAGTCAAAGTGCTCTATGGGGCGCCTGAGTGGCTCAGTCGGTTAGGCGTCCGACTTCGGTTCAGCTCATGATCTCACGGTTCGTGGGTTCCAGCCCCGCATCGGGCTCTGTGCTGACAGCTCAGAGCCTGGAGCCTGTCTTCGGATGCTGTGTCTCCGTCTCTCTCTGACCCTCCCCTGCTCACACTGTCTCTCTTTCTCTCTCTCTCTCTCAAAAATAAATAAAACATTAAAAGATGTTTTTAATAAAATAAAAAGAAGTCAAAGTGCTCTAGAGGGTGGATGCAGTCCCATACAAAGCTGAAGAGGACATAACCGGACCCTAAAAATCTAAAGCATTTGCTGGCAGGAACTGTGTCTTCCTCGCCTTTCAAACCCCCGGCACCTTTAATGATGACCATCTGGCAAATAGTTGCATCCGACATGCTTAGAAATGAGTGGATGAGGAAATAAAAACAGAGGCTCAAGTTTCAAAGGGACCAATTTGTATATGATACAAGAACTCTCCTTCAGAAAGTGCCTTGGGCTGGAAAACAGCAGAAGTAGGTTTTCCGCATCTCAGCAGCCGCTCCATCGTGGGTTAATGGTTCGTGAGCGAGCCTGTGAGGGGCAGGCCTGGGGACAGCCAGACCTTCGCAGACCCTCAGCCCCTGGGTCTTCTGACAGAGGCCGGCTGGCTGGCTGTGCCCTGCGTCTGATCTAAGGTGGCTCTTTTCATGTGCTTGTCCCCAGGCAGGGGTCATCACGGAGGCGAAGCTGAAGGACCTGACACCCCCCATGCCCGTGATGTTCATCAAGGCCATCCCCGCAGACAAGCAGGATGGCCGCGGCGTCTACCCTTGTCCTGTGTACAAGACTTGCCAGCGGGGACCCACCTACGTGTGGACTTTCAACCTGAAGACGAAGGAGAATGCGTCTAAGTGGGTTCTCGCTGGGGTAGCGCTGCTTCTCCAGGTTTAGCCACTGGGAACCCAGGGCTGGGCTGGAGGTTGCCCAGAGGGACAAGGGGCCGGGGCTCCACCGACGCATAGGTAAGAAATCACATGTACTCGGGGCGCCTGGGCGGCTCAGTCAGTTCAGTGTCCGACTTCGGCTCAGGTCATGATCTCGCAGTTCATGATTCCGAGCCCCGCGTTGGGCTCTGTGCTGACAGCTCGGAGCCTGGAGCCTGCTTCCGAGTCTGTGTCTCCCTCTCTCTCCCCTCCCCTGATCACACTCTGTCTCTGTCAAGAAAAAATAAACATTTAAAAAATTTTTGTTTAAAAGTCACATGTACTCACAATTCCGTAGAATTCTTGTAGGGAACCTGGAGAGAAGCGCCTACAGGGAGGCCGGGCTGGAGGAATACGGGCCCAGGATCAAGGGGAAGGGGAACATTTCACAACGCTGCACCGTTCCTAATAAAGTGACTTATTCCTCAACTGTGTCTGGTCCCAGCTTTTCAAGTGGCAGAGCCACAGATGATCCTGCAGAGACCAAGAGAAACGCGCCGCACACGCCTGAGCCCTGGCGCAGTCACACGGCTCCCAGCCGCTCTGAGGACTAGCGGCGTCAGCGGCGCCCCTGAATCAGAAGCTGCACGATCACCAGCTCCCTAGGTGACAGGTACCCACGTTACAGTTTGAGACTCGTTACCCTGGATCAGGGACCACCAGAATGTTCCTGGAAGGGGCCAGATGGTAAATGGTTTGTTCTCCGCTGCAGTGACTCAACTCTGCCACGACAGCCCCAGCACATACATAAACGGGTGTGGCTGTGCTCCGCTAACACCATACTTAGGAAAACAGATGCTGGGCCACATTTTGCCCGTCACTGATCTAGAGGACACGGGATGTATACACAGGACACTTACCCTTCATGAACTCACACATGCACTCAGTAAGTTAAAGACTTGGCGTGTGCTGAGGGCACAAGCTCAAATGAGGGGCCGTGTTTCCCAGTATCTCGATCATCCTTCAGGTCATTTCAGAGGGATCCACGGAGAAACCCGGTGCCTGCAGCAGTTTAGCCTAAAAGCTTTCTAGATTTTTCTCTGTCGAACAAATTTTTGCTGGAATCCCAAAGAGTTCCACAGTTTTAAAGAGCTCTTACAGGAAAGGCCTGTTTGCTAAGAAGAGTCCAGGAGGGCCCAGTATTCTTTCTGGAATCATCCCCCCCACATACCCTTGATGAACTATGATTTGCAACAGGGGCCCTTAAACTCGAGCTGGTATCCCAGTCCCCGGGAGGGCTGGCTAATCTCTCTCAAAATAAATAAACTTTTTTAAAAAATTAAAACATAAACACCCGCCAGCCTCCAAATCTCTGCTGTGCCAAATACAAAAGCAAAGGCTAGTTCCTCCATGATTTTCTTGCTTTCTGCCCTGTGGTTCCTGCACTTCCTAATGAGGGGCCTTCCCCCTCACCTTCATGCTACAAGGGGGTTAAAAATCCCTCTGGAATCCAAGATTTCCAACTTGAGTTTGATCTCTTGGTAACTCACTTGCCATGGCTTGCCAACAATCTGCTGCTTTGTGCCTAACAGCTCGCTGTTTGCAGGGAGGCAGACCTGCCCTCCCCGTTAGCCTCAGCCTTCTGGGTCCTCACCAGCAAGAGTAAAATCGGAGCAGGCAAGAGGCATGTGACTTCGAAGACGGGACAGGTGGGCAGGTTAGACGTATGTGTCACACCCCTAGACAGAACAGACATTCCATCACTACTACTGACTTCTTCCTAGTATCTACTGACAACAGGGGGTACGGAAGGTGATTTTAAAACACAGAACATTCTAGAAAACTGATACCCAGGAGAAAGAGGGGCAGGCGGAGGCAAGTGAGCAAGTGGGAGGTGAGAATGCCCAGCGCTAGCACCAGGTTAGCGGTATCCTGTCACCCATCAGCTGATGGGAAACCTGGTAAGTCTCTATGGGATGGTCAGGTGCTCAACTACCGTTCAGGGCCACCCCATGAGAACATGAACTCTAAGTTACGATTAGAACACAGTGGGCGCTTCAGACACAGAAACGACAGGGGGTTACTCAAGAAGTTTATTTAGAATGAGACACACTTGAGGTTGACTTTGCACTCGTATGACCAAGAACACGCGTGAACACACAGGCCTTCTCCGCTGCCCCTCCTGTGACAGAAGACCCGCTCTCCAACCCCCGTTCCCCAACAGCTGACCCGAGGCTCCTCCCATGAGCCACCACTGCGGCCAATCCAGTTAAGCCCGCCCCAGACAGCACGTGTCGAACAGGGTCCCCCAGTGAGCCTTTCTCCCCAAGGAGCCACGAGAGACGATCCGAAGGAGGAAGACCACTCTCTCCTGATGTGGAGACGAGAAATTAAACCAACGCGAAATCCAACCCAGAGGCCAACGTGCCCTCCAGGTCCAAAGCCGTGTCCAGGTGACCCGGCTTTCAAATCCATTATAAAAGAAAAAAGAAAGAAAAAAAGCAGAGAGAACAGGGCTGGCCTTCGAGAGACGCAATTTCCCCAGACGGAACGAAGTATTTTGAAATGGCCCAGAGATAGAAAGGGGCCGAGGGGGCTTTGGCTACTGAAAGGGCCTCTTTCCCAGATGGGACCTTTGATGTTTATCTAGGCTGGAGCTCCAGCTGAAACTCTTCCCGCAGCGGGGGCACTTGTAAGGCTTCTCGCCCGTGTGCACTCTCTGGTGCCTGTTGAAGTTGGACCTCTGAATGAAGCTCTTCTCGCAGATGGGACACTTGTAGGGCTTCTCGCCCGTGTGGATCTTCTCGTGGTGGCGCAGGCCTGAGAAGTCGCTGAAGCCCTTCCCGCACTGGTCGCACTTGCAGGGCTTCTCGCCCGTGTGGGTTCTCTGGTGCTTCACGAAGTCTGAGCTCCGCAGAAAGGCCTTCTTGCAGGTGGGGCACTGGAAGTACGTCTCTCCGGTGTGGGTTCTCTGGTGAAACACGAGCTGAGAATTCCTGTAAAAGCTCTTCCCACACTCCCTGCAGGTGGGGAGCTTCTGGGCCATGGGGGCCCTCGGCTGTCCCTTCGGGGAGGCCTCTCTCTTCCCCTCCAGCCACAGCCGGGACAGTTCTTCTGGGTGGGGACTGGTCACGTGCTGTCTCCCAGAATTCCTTTCTTGAGTAGAGAGCTGGCCCGCGGGTCCCTCACCCCGAAGGTTTTCTGGGGCCTCCGGGAGACCGTCCCCTTCTCCAAAGCGTCTGGGTGCGTCCTCACCAAAGAGGCCACCCAAGGAGGCCTGGGAAGGTGCGTCCCCTGGGGCGAGGCAGGGGACCTCAGAAGGCTCCTGGCCCCTGCAGTTTTCCAAATTCAGGTTCTCTTTGTCATTCTCCTGCCTGTTTCCTGGAAGAAGAAAGAAGATTGGACATCGCTCAGTCGGTGGCCTGCTGTTTTTGGACTCCTACGTCAAGGAAAAGGTCATCAGGACACATGAACTGTCCTCATCAAGAAGGCATCAGGGAGAGAGGGAGGAAGACGCCAGCCCAGCCGGCCTGAGTACGGGCACCCACTGCTCTTGGATGTCACGTGGCAGAGGGGCACACGGAGAGCTTGGCTGGCCGCCCCCGCCCCCGAAGTGAGCAGCAGACATTTCTTCAGGCCCAGGAAAAACAAGTGCCTTACCTAAGGGTGTCACTTTGCAAAACAATGTGTTTTTATCTGATCACATCTAAAACACTAAAAACAATCTGGAGAGAAAAACATTAAAAGAAGAAAACCAAATCGACCTCAATCACAGCATCCAGAGGTAGCAACCATGACTATGTACTTCCTTCTGATCTTTGTGTATGTCCGTGCGTGCTTTTGGGGGGGAGAGGACATAACCGATATCCTACTGTATACACAGTTCTATACCCGGCTTTCTGGCATTGATGGTGGTTATTTATCAATTTCACATGGATTCTCCCATTCACAAGTAACCCCAAAATCCACGAAATGCATTCATGTGTCACTCTGCCATTGCTTTAATGCACAGTGAGGCCATAACATAAAAGTGGATCCCTCAAGGGCGCCTGGGTGGCTCAGTCGACTGAGTGTCAACTTCAGCTCAGGTTATGATCTCACGGTTCGTGAGTTCGGGCCCTGCATCACGCTCTCTGCTGTCAGCGCAGAGTCCACTTCAGATCCTCTGTCCCCCCCTCTCCATCCCTCCCCTGCTTGCTTTCTCTCTCTCTCTCTCTCTCAAAAATAAATATTTTTTTTAAGTAGATATCTCAGTCTGGGCATGAATGTACCATTTACTAACTTTAATACATTATTTCTGTAGATCTAAGGAAGTTATTTACCTTTCTCTTTCCTGCATGAGTGCCTTCAAATTATATGCTAGAGTCCCAGGAATCTGCTACAGAATTAGATCTGACTTAATTCACAAAGCCTTAGAACACACCCCTCTCAAATGACAAAGGCACTTTCTCTTGTCTTTAAAGAAACTGTCATAAATACGTGAAAGCTGAATAAGGGTCCATCGTGGAGATAGCACCATAAACACATAATAACAAACACATGATTTACTGGAGGATTTTTCCCACTCTCAACACCAAGGTTGTTTGTTGTGGGTTTGCTACTATAAATAACACTGCGATTTTCCTTTGTATGTTTTTGCCCACATTTCTGACAACTTGGGTTCCTTACAGTGTTATTACCACGTCAACAGGTATGAATGTGGACACTGAGACTCCTGGCACTGGCTGGCGAATCGATATCCATGTCCGTGCCATCCCCTGATATGAGCAGCTGGGCTAAGCAAAGGACAGTGCTCGGAACTTAAGTACTGAATATTTCTAGAGTATTGGCCTTTGTTGAAAAATCTATACACTGAAAACTATAGAAAGCTTATGAAAGGAATTGAAAAAGACACACAAAAATAGAAAAATATTCCACGTTCCTGGATACAAAGAACAAATATTGTTAAGATGTCAATACTACTCAAAGCAATATACATATTCAATGCAATACCTATCAAAATAACACCAGCATTCTTCACAGAGCTAGAACAAACAATCCTAAAATTTGTATGGAACCAGAAAAGACCCCAAATAGCCAAAGTAATCTTGAAAAAGAAAACCAAAGCAGGAGGCATCACAACCCTGGACTTTGAGCTGTATCACAAAGCTGTAATCAAGACAGTATGATACTGGCACAAAAAACAGACACTCAGATCAGTGGAACAGAATAGAGAACCCAGAAATGGACCCACGAATGTATGGCCAACTCATCTATGACAAAGCAGAAAAGAATATTCAATGGAATAAAGACAGTCTCTTCAGCAAAATGGTGTTGGAAAACCGGACAGCTACATGCAGCAAAATGAACCTGGACCACTTTCTTACACCACACACAAAGATAAACTCAAAATGGATGAAAGACCTAAATGTAAGACAGGAAGCCATCAAAATCCTCAAAGAGAAAGCAGGCAAAAACCTCTCTGACTTCAGCCACAGCAACTTCTTATTCAACATCTCTCTGGAGGTAAGGGAAACAAAAGCAAAAATGAACTATTGGGACCTCATCAAAATAAGCTTCTGCACAGCAAAGGCAACAATCAGCAAAACTAAACGGCAAGTGACAGAATGCAAGAAGATATTTGCAAACGACATAGCAGATAAAGGGTTAGTATCCAAATCTATAAAACACTTATCAAACTCAACACCCCAATAAAATGATCCAGTGACATGAATAGACACGTCTCCAAAGAAGACATCCAGATGCCAACCAATACATGAAAAGATGCTCAACGCCACTCATCATTAGGGAAATACAAACCAAAGCCACAATGAGATACCACCTCACACCTGTCAGAACGGCTAACATGAACAACTCGGGCAACAACAGATGTTGGTGAGGATGCAGAGAAAGAGGACCTCTTTGGCACGGCTGGTGGGAATGCAAACGGATGCAGGCACTCTGGGAAACAGTGAGGAGGTTCCTCAAATATGCAGAACAAGCAGAGGGTTACTGGGGGAGGTTGGGGGGGGGGCAAATGGGTAAGGGGCATTACAGAATCCACTCCTGAAATCACTGTTGCCCTATATGCTAGCTAACTTGGATGTAAATTTAAAAAATAAATTTAAAAAAATTCATAAATATAAATAAATAATAAAATATTGGCCTTTGAGACCAGTGAAAACAGTTTATCACTGTTCTAAGTCTTAACACCTTTGTTATTAAAGGATGAATTTTTTCACTTTTATGAGCTATTTTTCGTGAAGACTGCTGTCCATTCTTTAACTGGGAAAGTCTTTCTTTTCCTTATTATCCTGCATTAACTCTCACCATGTTATGAAAAATAATCATTTAGGGGCACCTGGGTGGCTCAGTTGGTTCAGCATCTGACTTCATTCAGGTCATGATCTCACGGTTTGTGAGCTCGAGCCCTGCATCGGGCTTTCTGCTGTCAGCATGGAGCCTGCTTAAGATACTCTGTCGTCTCCTCTCTCTGCCCATCCCCTACTTGCTCGCTCTCTCTCTTTCTCTCTCAAAAATAAACACTGAGAGAGAGAGAGAGAGAGAAAGAAAGAAAATCATTTATGTGTCATGTTCATGAACAATGTTTTTCCTCAATCCAGTTCCCTGAACTTTGTTTTCAGTCATTTATGTATATGTGTAAGTTGTGGGGGGGGTTCTTATTTTTAAATATACTCAAGTCTATTTTTTTCTAATGTTTGTTTATTTTTGAGAGAGACAAAGCATGAGCGGCGGAGGGGCAGAGAGAGAGAGGGAAAAACAGAATCTGAAGCAGGCTCCAGAGCCTGGCATGGGGCTCGAACCCATGAACTGTGAGGTCATGACCTGAGTTGGAGTCGGCCGCTTGACGACTGAGCCCCCCAGGCACCCCTCCTCAATGGTTTTACACTGATAAAACCTTCCCCGCCCAGACGTGAGTGAAACATTCACCCATTTCCTTCCTTATTATTATGTTTCTATTTTATCTCTTTTTCAATCTATTTCCAACTTATTTTGGTATATGACATTCATCATATTTACACCGATTCCTCTTGCCTCAGAAGAACAGACCTGATGGCCTCCTTCACCTCACGTCAAATTGTTATCCAGACGAGCCTCTCAAGGCTCTCTTTTCTGTTCCACTGGCCAGTGCATCTATTTGTATACCTGCATCCCATCATTTTAATGATTTTACCTTTCTAAAATGACTCTTTTTTTTATTTAAAAAATTTTTTAATGTTTTATTTATTTTTGAGAGAGAGAGAGAGACAGCGTGAGCAGGGGAGGGTCAGAGAGAGATGGAGACACAGAATCTGATGCAGGCTCCAGGCTCCGAGCTGTCAGCACAGAGCCCGACGCGGGGCTCAAACCTGTGAACCACGAGATCATGACCTGAGCCAAAGTCGGATGCTTAACCGACTGAGCCACCCAGGCGCCCCTCTTTTTTTTTTTTTTTTTAAATAGGCTCCATGCCCAACATGGGGCTCAAATTCATGACCCCGAGATCAGGCTGCATCCTCGACCAACTGAGCCAGCCAGGCTGAAATGACAGATTCTGAATATTCACAGATCTAATGTTGATGAAACATTCTCCCTTCAAGACCCATTAGTATCTTTGAAGTATTCTTTCAGTTAACTACTTAACAATCATTTTCCCAAATAACACATGTATGGTTCCAAAAACTCAACTTTAAAGCATGAAATCTCTGAGGACCATTAAATAGTTCGCACCACAATCTTAAATGAGAATTTTCCTCAACTCAGTGTTTTCAAACTACTCACAGTAAGAAATGTGTTTATATAGGGGCGCCTGGGTGGCTCAGTCGGTTAAGCGTCTGACTTCGGCTCAGGTCATGATCTCACGGTTTGTGGGTTCGAGCCCCGTGTCGGGCTCTGTGCTGACAGGTCGGAGCCTGGAGCCTGTTTCAGATTCTGCGTCTCCCCCTCTCTCTACCTCTCCCCAGCTTGTGCTCTGTCTCTGTCTCTCTCTGTCTCTCTCTCAAAAATAAATAAGCATTAAAAATTTTTTTCTTTTTTTTTAATATTTTTATTTATTTCTAGGAGAGAGAGAGAGAGAGAGAGAGGGAGACAGCTTGAGCAGGGGAGGGTCAGAGAGAGAGGGAGATACAGACTCTGAAATAGGCTCCAGGCTCTGAGCTGGCAGTCAGCACAGAGCCCAACGCGGGGCTCGAACCCATGAATCGCGAGATCATGACCTAAGCAAAAGTTGGATGCTTAACCGACTAAGCCACCCAGGCACCCCTAAAAAAATTTTTCTTAATTAAAAGAAATATGGAACATACACACATACTTAGAACAAAGATTTCCAAAAATACTACCTACCCTAATATTTTCTGCTATTTTCATTCAATCTTACTGCATTTTTTAAAGTGCTGGATACA